CACTGCTGCCTCCAACTCCTGGGCCCCAGTGATCCTCCTGCCTCAGGCCCCCAAGTAGCTGGGACTACAGGTGCACTACCTGTAAATTTAAATTTTTTTGTAGACATGGGGTCTCGTTATGTTGCCCAATCTGGTCTTAAACACCAGGCCTCAAGTGATCCTCTTACCTCAGCCTCCCAAAGTGCTGGGATTACAAGCATGAGCCACTGCACTCAGCCTCAGATTTATTTTATTTTATTTATTTATTTATTTTTGAGACAAGAGTTTTGCTCTGTTGCCCAGACTGGGGTGCAATGACAGGATTTCGGCTCAGTGCAAACTCCGCCACCCAGGTTCAAGCGATTCTCCTGCCTCAGCTTCCCGAGTAGTTGGGAATACAGGAACCCGCAGCCGCCACCACACCTGGCTAATTTTTTTTTTTTAGTAGAGATGGGGTTTCTCCATTTTGGCCAGCCTGGTCTCGAACTCCGGACCTCAGGTGACCCGCCTGCCTCAGTCTCCCAAAGTGCTGAGATTACAGGTGTGAGCCACCTGGCCCTCAGATTTATTAACTTTTTCTATTCACTCAGTACTTACTAGTATTTACCAAGTGCCAGCTTTTGTGATAGGCTGATTCCAATGAGGATGCTCAGATTTGCCCTTATTATTAGGAATGTACAAGAAAAAATGTGTTTATTGCAGTCCTACAAAAGGAGTCCCTACGCTACTTAGGAAAGTAGAGAGGAGAAAGTAGAGGAAGAGGAGAAACTACAGTTCTATGTGAGATTCAGTTTCTATTAAGCATAGAAGACAAACTGCCCAAAAGTGTATCAAGAGCTTGAAGTTGTGAACAAGTAAAACCTTAAGACATGTAATATTTAGAGCAAGCTGCATTTCTAAGATCAGGCTGAACAAGGGAATTGAATAACTTAATGAGGGAAAACCAATTCCTATGTAGAAGGAAACAGAGAAGTGCCAGGGAAAGAAGGGAGGTGGCTCACAGGGCCAAAGCAAAAGCAGTGCCTAGGAGTGAAGGAGGGAAAGGCTTCCCCCTCACCTTAAAAATAGCCTCATGCTAGTCATGGGCCCACAGCAGTCAGGAAGACTCAATTCTGCAAACACCACTGGGGTAAGTTGCCAGTAGCAGGCTGCTGAACACCCAGGGGGCACAGATTGTCACCTTGATTCAGCAGCGCTTATGAGCTGCCCTACATCTGGCAGGCACCACCAGGCAAGAGAAAACTCAGTTTGAACTGGCTAGTTTAAGATGGCTATTCCAGATGGTGAGAGCTTGGGGGCACTGACTCTGTGGCCATGGGCAGCTGCTCAGTCCCATGAGAGCATGGTGATCCCAGACTTGAGCCAGGACCCACTAGCAGTTGGTGATGTGCGGCAGGGCCAGGGGAGAGGATCCTATTTTCAGGTACCCCAGCTGAGTGGGTCTGAGATCCCCTCTAGTATTTTCTGGCTTCCACTTAGCTGAACATGAATGAACCCTGCCAAGGAAGACTACCTCCTTCCTACCCTTAGAATCTAGAAAAAAAACTTTCTGGAACTGCTATGAGAATGCTACCAAGGTCTCCCAATCGGAGGTGCTCGGCACTAGGACACAAGTCTATGGAGAGGCTGGGTTTGTGTGGGACCCCACTAGGATGGGGTCTTCCTGGAGGTTGCTGGATAGTGACATGTCTGATGTAACGGATGTTTTCCACGTCTTCAAGTGTCAGGAAATGCCAAGGTTCTCTGTTCACTGAAGACTCCACCCAGAACCTGCTGACAACTGAGCTTAGTATACCTTACTCCAGGATCACACCACCTCCCAATGCTTCTCCAGCTCCTGTTGACCAGTAGCCTTCTGTTTAACTGTCCCTGCTTCCCACCATCCTGATGCCAGCGATCTCTGCCAGTGTTGCTAACCACTTGCAACTCCAGGAACCATAAATCTCACTGAACACCATTCCACTTGGAGACATTATGGGGCAGATTTTCCCAACCTTGCTTACAGCCATAAGCAGGCTTACTATGAAGAAAATGCTTGAGACTGCAGTGTCCCCACTGCCTCAGCACCACTGGAAGGAGCCCTGGGAATGTGGTCACATGTACATCTATTTTGTAAATTTTCAAAAAGAACCTATGAATCCATGTAAATCAGTTCAGGCATCTCAAAATCTGCAATCCAATTTATGGAAATGTCTCTATTAATCTTTTTGAGACAGGGCCTCACTTCCTCACCCAGGCTGGAGTACACAGGGGCTCAATCACAGCTCACTGCAGCCTCCAACTCCTGGGCTCAGGTGGTTCTCCCACCTCAGCCTCGTACCGTAAGAGTATGCCATCATGCCCTGCCAATTTTCTGTATCTTTCGAAGAGATGGAGTTTTACCATGATGCCCAGGCTGGTGCTGCACTCCTGAGCTCAAGCAATTGTTTTGCCTCTGCCTCCCAAAGTGCTGGGATTATGGGTGAGCCAACATGACAGCCAAGAGTATTTTTCAATATGCAATGAGAATCATTAAATCAGTTTAGGATGAAGTCAGCAGCATTAACATATAAAAAACAAATGTGGCCAGGCACAGCGGCTCAGGCCTGTAATCCCAGCATTTTGGGGTGGGTCACATAAGGCCAGGAGTTCGAGACCAGCCTGGCAAAACCGTCTCTACTACAAATGCAAAAATTAGCCAGGTGTGGCGGTGCACACCTGAAATGCCAGCTACGCGGGAGGCTGAGGCACAAGAATTGCCTGAACCCAGGAGGCAGAGGTTGCAGTGAACTGAGATCACACCACTGTACTCCAGCCTGGACAACAGGGAAAGACTCTCTCCCCCGCCCCACCCCCAGCAAAGACAAATACGGAGAGCATTTATTTTTTTTATACATACATACAACCCTCTCCTCTCCCAGAACCTGTAGGCAAGCTCACAAGAGGGGCAATTAATGTCTCTCGATGTGGGGAAGGGCCATCGCCTGTCCAGGGCTTCCAGGAATAGTTAACCTAAGTGACAGGAACATTCTCAAAAATAAAAACCTAAGCTCTATAAAACTTACCTACACAAATGGTAATTAAAGTCAAGATTATCAGGGCCTCAGAAAAATATTCCTGAGGTTACCACCTAAGTATGTGCAACCACTTATATCTATTTTCAGGGAACAGATGTTCTCTACACAGAAAGTAAGCTCAAGTGAAAAGCAACGTACATTATCTACAGTGGGCTTTAGAAGTACAATTCATTTCGAGACATGTATTTATTATTACACTTTGGTATGCAATCTCAGGTATTCTGATCTGGAGTAAAAAACCAAACTAAATGAACACAACTTTTAGAAACTGATGTTTATTTTCTATCAACCATTTTTCCATGTTGCTTAAGAGCCCGTGCAAGAACAGCTTAAGACCATTCAGTGGTTGCTCCTACCCATTCAGTGGCCTGAGCAGTGGGAGCTGCAGA